TAAATCATGTAAGTATTATATGTATTTCCTTAAAATGAGCTTGTATAATGGAATCAAAGAAATCCTAGCACCTGAGCAATGAACAGTTTGAAAAAGAGTTATGCATACTTTGTGATAAATTTTTAATACAGTTACTCCTATCAGCTTCATTGTTATAAATTTTAATACTTATGATAACCAACAATACTTCTATATTAGCTTTATTACTATAAATTTTTAATACTTGTGATAACCAACAATACTTCCCTCTCTTGATGTTGCAAGTTGTAAGTTCAAAAACGTTATTTGTGCAAAATTCTTATTTCTTGTCCTTATGGTTATACACTAACATGCATGCATAATTTTCAAAGTTATGATAATTGTATAGACTGCTTAAGTTTACTTGGTGAAAATCTTTCTAACCAACCAACTACCTGAAATATGTAGTTTCTAAGGTTTTTTCCTCTTCAAACTAGTCATAGCAAGCGAAGATTAAATCTATATATGAGTTTTGTATGTGTTCTTAAACTGTCATTATTTCAAATGACTTATAAAAATAGCAACAATAGTAAACGAGACAGCGACAGAGTAGACAAATAGATAAATATGAAATAAGAGAGCAAGCAAGAAAAACAAAAAGAAAATGAGAGAGCGAAGCAGATAGACGAATACAAAACAAGAAAGAGATAAAGTGAGAGATCAAATGCTTCAAGTTTTTGTGAAAGATAATATATATATATATATAGTGTATATATAATATATATAATATATATAATATAATATATATATATATACAGGGTAACCGTGGTTCGGGACGTGCCGAGCGCCCGAACCCAAACGCCCGAACGTTCGGCTGTTCAGGCCAAATGCAGAAAAAAAAAAAAAAAAAAAAAAAAAAGAAAATAAAAAAAAAAAAAAAAAAAAAAAAAAAAAATCAAACAAATTTAAAATTAAACAAGATTTGCCTGAGCATTACACCCAAAATACTTATCAAATTTGAAATAAAAATAAAATACGGAGAACAAACACTAATAATAAAAAAATAAATAAATAAATTAAAAATTAAATATAGTGAGTGCGAGAGCACGTTTTCGACACCGCCATCTTTGGCATTTTTTTTTTTTTTTTGGCAAAGCTAAATTACCTGACAATTTACCGATGTGTACTTCACATAATACAAAACCTACTATAAAAAATTCAAAAATTAATAAAATGTTTTAGACCCTGAACTAAAGTGAAAACAAAAAGTAAAAAGTGGAAACAAATGTGGGCAAGCACGTTTTGACACCGCCATCTTTGGCGAATTTTAATTCTTATTTGGCTGAGATAAATGACGTCAAAATTTATAGGCGTGTACCACATGTCATACAAAACACAAAAAAAACATTCAGAAAAATAAATTATCCTTAGACCTCGGGTCGAACCTTGTAGAGGACCCCGAACGCCCGTACGTACGGAGGTCAGCTTCGTTTCTGGTTTCTATTGATGTGGATTTTTGTGTGTTTTGGGGGCAGCGGTAGAGAAAGGAGGGTGAGGAGAGGGGGTGCAGGAGCGGGGTGGATCATGGGTTGTCCGTTTTGCATGACCGGGGATGCAGCAGCTGTTGTGTCCCGCCTGTACTTGAGCACCTGCTGCTGGTAGCATGCACCAGCTGCTGAAAGACAGGCTGACACAACAACTTCTGCATCCCTTGTGGACTTGCAAAAGCAAAGCAGGTTGTAGCAATCACAAGCAGCAAACAAAAAACCCCTGATTTTCGAACGCTGACTCGGTATGAGTGTGGACTCAACAGAGTCAACACTCAGACCCGGTTTCGGTCCACAGTTAGACTCAGTCCGCCGCTCCCCGTGATTCCTGTCTCTTATACACATCTAGATGTGTATAAGAGACAGGGCTGACACAACAACTTCTGCATCCCTTGTGGACTTGCAAAAGCAAAGCAGGTTGTAGCAATCACAAGCAGCAAACAAAAAACCCCTGATTTTCGAACGCTGACTCGGTATGAGTGTGGACTCAACAGAGTCAACACTCAGACCCGGTTTCGGTCCACAGTTAGACTCAGTCCGCCGCTCCCCGTGATTCCAAGCAGCCATGCAAGCAAACTCGAAATCATGTTCTAAAAAATCGCAACCTATAAACAACGTAAGTGGCAAAGTGCAACCGACAGTTTCACAGAATCTGTTGCACAGACTTAGAGGTCTTATGAATTGTAATCGACAGTGAACCTCCATTGACATAACATGGTAACAGCCTGGCAGTCATAACACAAGAAGAAGAAGAAGGAAAAAAAAAAAAGAAAAAAAAAGAGGCACAACATTGATTGCCTTGGAAAACCCAAGGGATTAACTGTGCGAAAAAAACACCACTTCGACTATGACCATTAAGCATCAGCAGCACTCAGACAGTGCAAGTGTACGTTCTTTCAATTTCCTCCCCTGCCGAACCCTATTCCCAATCGGTTTCCCGACCATCTTCATCATTCTCACTGCTGCTTTCTTCCGCATCCGTCGAATCGTCTTCCACGACCCTCCTTCCTCGCCGCCTTCCTCTTCGGCCGCTTCGACAGGCGTGTCTCCGCACCATCCATTGTGAGTGCAGGGCCCCCTTGCACCTTCCTCCCCTGAGTCACATGCTCTTCCACCTCACCCCCTTCACCACCATCCTCGCCGACCAGAGCGCATGCTGATACAGCTGGCTGAAGTGGGTACTTTCACGGTCGCCCCCTTTTGCTTGCCATTTTTGGACCGATGTCAGGCTGCACCTTCTTCTTCCTTCCTGCCAGGCTTACGTCCAAGTTGTCGTGCTGCACGCCCTCGACCTCCGCAGGGAAAGGAAGGGTTTGAACTACACCCCGGACGACTGCTGCACTGGGCATTGGAGGCCGCCTGGAGTACACTCGAGCGACTCCCGTTGCACTCCCGTTTTCTTTTTGTTGCTCCTGCAGCGGATCGTGCTCTAGTTGCTTTTGCAGACCATCGTGCTTTTGCTGCTGATGTTGCTGCATTCCATCCTGCTCTGTCTAATGCTGCTGCTGCGCTCCATCCTTGTGCTGCTGATGATGTTGTGGTCGATCCCGCTTTGTCTGCTGCTGCGCTCCATCCGTATGCTGCTCATCCTGTTGCGGTCCATCCTACTTTGTCAGCTGTTGTTGTCGCTGTCCATCCTTGTGTTGCTGCTCTTGCGGATGCAGTCCATCTTGTTGTTGTTGTTGCTGTTATAGTTCGTCTCATTGTTCTTGCTGCTGCTGTTAGTGTCGATCATCCTGTTGCTACACCTGCTACCGCTGCAGTCCATCGTGTTGTGGCTGGTGTTGTTGTTGCCGAAGCACATCCACTCGCCCTTGAATCTGTTGTTGCAGGCCTTCCTCTTGTCGTTGCTCTTGCAGTCCTTCCTCTCGCCGTCGCTGTTGCTGAACGTCTTCCTCTTGTTGTTCCCATTGCATGCCTTCCATATGCCACCGCTGCTGAACCCCTTCTGCCGGTAGACATCCGCCCATTCCCGTCGTTGTCTAGTTCATCTTCCTCGAACGGGGGACAACACTTCATTTTTTTGTTTCCTCTCGAATTCGTTGCTCCACGAGGGCGCAATCACGATGAGCAAGGGACTGCGCCCTCACCTTGTCAGCGCTATCGTCGAAGTCCTTGTCCACTTCGATGCATGTGTTGAAGTTCATCCCCCGAGGCCGCAAGAACTTCAAGTCACTATCAAGGTAACCCCGCTCCACGTTACGTGTGAGGTCGTCATCCAGTTCGTTGTCGTCACTGGATATGTTGCTCGCCCTTGGCTACCACAACGTAATGTTATTGTCATCTTCCTCGCTCTCCTTAATATCCTCTTCCTTGTCATCCACATCCATATGCGCCTTGCCTTTGCCACCATCAACAACTTCAACAACCTTTTTGTTTTTGCCTTTGCCTCTCCAAATGAGGTCCTCCCCATCATCACTGTTGTCCGATGAGCTTAACCCTCAACGACATGAAGCTTCAGGACTCTAGCTCGGGGGGTCTTCGTTCGATTTGCCCGACGGGCCACTTCGTCATCACTCAAGTCTGTTGGAGTTGCAGCCCTCAGCAACACCGCAGGATCATTCGGCGTTGGTGCCTCCAGATCGTTGAAGAATGCGGCCCACATGTCCAAGTACCCTGCCAAGCTTTATGTACTTTACTTCTTCTTGATGTCCAACAGTTGAAGATTCTAGTGGATGTACACTAACTTGGCGAGGTTGTCAGGCGACAGTGGGCCCCTCCTCTTATCGTGGACAAGATCGAGAGAGGACCAGTTTCTCTCACAAGGGGTCGCAGTGCTCCACATCGTTGTCACTCTCATGGCAATGTCTCGCAACTTCTTATGAGAGGCCCCATGGCGGTTCCACCATTGGGAGGTTGTCATTTGAGCAAGGGTGTTGTCGAACTTCGCGAAGTCGGTCTACAAGCTCTCCTCCACCACTTTCCTTGTCACTACATCCTTTACCGACATATCTTCAGTTTGCTCCCTGTGGAAAGCTTACAAGTCCGCCCACAGATCTAGTTGCTCGTTGCACCCCCAAGCCTCGTTCTCTTTGCAATGTGATAAGAAGAACTTGAGGGTGTTTTGGACCACTGGGGAGTGCATGTCCATCAACCACTTGTTGTCTCTCCTCCTTGGGTCAAGAAAAAAGTTCGCTACCGTACATGAATAGGCTACCTCATCATCTTCGTGCGCTGGTTAACTGCCTTCATGATTCTCCACCGCTGGTCATCGGTCAACCGCGTAAGTGTCTTCAGACGCTTGCCCAACCCTTCGTCGAAGTGCCAAAGGTTTGGGGGGGCTGTGCCGTTGCAGTCCATCTACCTTAATAGCTCGTATATCGGCTCCAGCACATCCAAAATCGTGCGCAGCTTCTCCCACCATTCGGGCGCGGTAACAGTCCGGTACGTCAGGTCAAATTTGTCTCGATCTTTCCTTGTGCTCCATCTTAATTGCCTCCACCCCTCGTCCATCATCCCCTCAAGCACACACCTCCTTCCCCAAAACCGGTTCATCATCATGTATGCGGAAGCAAACCAGACCTTCGTGGGTAAAATCAAGGTCGATTCCCTAGAAAGTTTGAGCACCTCGTATAAAGGTTGTTAGTGTTATGGTGTTTCCTTATGAACTTGACCATCATCTTCGTGCGCTGCACCACTTCCTTCACCCACTCGAGCTCGCAGACATCCTTCATCAACAAGTTCAAGTAGTGAGTTGCGCACGGGACCCATGGAATGCTTGATATGTCACGATTTGTACGCCTTCGCAGGATCCGTGCAGCTTGCTTGTTGACTTCCGCATTGTTTGTGCAAATTGCATTAACTCGATGCACCCCAATGTCCCTGATCATATGGTCCCACATCATCGCCAAAGCAACTGCAATCTTCTTCTTCTCGGGCACATCCACAACCTTCAAGAGGATCGCACCACTTTCGTCGGCCCCGATGAAGTTCATCACAGGTTTGTACCTTCGATCTGTGCTTCCATCAGTAAGGAGCGTGCAACCTGTGTTGTCCCACTTCGCTTTCAGCGGATGCATGTCTTTCTGCACCTTGTTGTAGATGATGTCTAACACAACAGTTCGTATGACCTCCAAGGAAGGCATTTTCACCCGCTGCCTTTTCTCTCCCAACTCGAGGTACAAGTTGTGCAGGTCATGTGTCTCTTTCGTCCTGACGTAGTTGAATGGGTCGTCGTGTCGGAAAAGGTGCATCCCCCATGCCACATCCAATCTTTGTTGCGAATCGTTGGTTACCCACCTTTTGATCGATGTTCGTGTCAAGTTCCCGGATTTCTGGCCCGCAGCGGATCCTTGCGCAGACGTTCCTAGCATTCCACCACCTTCTTCCACAACCCCCTCTCTTTCCTCTTTATCAACTTCCGCAGTCCGCACCGTTCTGCTCGGTCGTGCGGTTGGTGGCACTATGAACGCATCCACTGTGTCCCCTTGTGCCTCCACCTCCGGAATTGCAGGAACCAAACCATCATGGGGGATGTTGTGCTCCATGCGATACAATTGGATGAGTCGCAACGTCTTCTTGCACTCAATCGCATGCCCCTTCGCAGCAAGGATGTGAAGCAACTCTGGATAACGCACGGGGCATGGATTAGTTTTCCGAGTGAAATGGGGCCACACACGCGTGTCCGACGCAACCAAATTTGCGCCGCACAGATTGCACTTCACTTTGTGCTGCCCCTTCGCCAATGGCGGGACCATTTGCCCCTGCGTCAACCACCTAAATGCCACCTTCGTCGCCCGCAGCTCCAACTGCCTTGCCTCAGGCTGTGGCTGAAATGGTTCCTTCACGCGCGTGGCTTTATCATCCGAACCTGCCACCTCCTTCCCGCTCGAAGTGCCTGCCCCGCTTGAAGATGCCATCTTGCACAAGGTTTACGAACGAGGAGGAGAAAAAGAATTAGAAGGAAGAGAAGAAGAAGAAGAAGAAGAAGAAGAAGAAGAAGGAAGAGGAGGAGGAGGAGGAGGAGGACAAGAAGAAGCGTTTGATGTGAAAAAAAAAAGAATCCCAAAGTCAGGCTGACAGCTTGGCACAGTGCCACGTCCAAGGACAAAAGCTATGGTGTTGAGGAGTCTATGGAGACTAAGAGGTGGTAAGAAGAAGAAGAAGAAGAAGAAGAAGAAGAAGAAGAAGAAGAAGAAGAAGAAGAAGAAAAATGAGATGTGGAAAAAAAAAAAAAAAAAAGCAAAGTGAGGCCGACAGCCTGACACCGTGCCACGTGAAAGGAGGGAGGCGATCTGGCGGGGTTGTGCTGCATGAAAGGAGGGAGGAGGAGAGCTATGGCGGTGGAGGAGGGAGGCAGCCTATGGCGGAGGAGGAGGGGGTCCGTTATGAGAAAGGAGGGAAGGAGTCTATGGAGACTGAGAGGTGGAAGAAGAAGAAGAAGAAGAAGAAGAAGAAGAAGAAGAAGAAGAAGAAGGAAGAGGAGGAGGAGGAGGAGGAGGACAAGAAGAAGAGTTTGATGTGAAAAAAAAAAGAATCCCAAAGTCAGGCTGACAGCTTGGCACAGTGCCACGTCCAAGGACAAAAGCTATGGTGTTGAGGAGTCTAT